GGGGGGGGGGCGGGTGGATGGAGCGCGGGCGGACGGGCGACGGCGGACGGCGTCGGAACGCGAGGCGCGCGCGCGATGACGACGGTGATCGGACTCGATCCGGGATCGAGAATACAGATGGCGTTAGCGAAGATAGCGATGCGGGACGCGATGGATGCGCTCGGGGTGTTCGAGTACGAGGAGGATGAGGATACATGAGGCGCGGCGACGAAGGCGCGGCGATCGCCGCGCGCAACGTAGAGGACACAACGGAGAGGGTGACGCACGCACATGACATAACATACAAACTTTTTCCCTATAAGACACTACGACGATCTCTCAGTACCGACCGCGTCCGCGTCCGCGTCCGCGTCCGCGTCCGAGGCCTCTGCCGCCAAAGCCGCCGCCAAAGCCGCCGCGATTTCCATTCCCGACCGGCGCGGTGAGCATGAGCGCCAAACCGCGCCCGGGGCCCGGTGGGTTCGGCGCCGGGACGACCATGCCATCCGTGAACATCGACAAACGCCTGCCGTCGGACAGGGACCATCGCGTTTGATCTCCCGCGTCGGGCGCCGATACGTTGAAGCCAAACTTGTTCAGACACGAGTTGAACGCGTTTAAAACTTCGACATCGCACCTCACCGCCCCGCTCTCGTCCACCGGTCGACAAAGGCACACCTCTCCCGTGGGTGACACCTGCACGATCTCCCGTCCGAACGCGCGCGCGACGACGACGCCGTCCTCTCGCTTCTCCGCCTCGCACGTCATCCGTCTCGGTGGTCTTCGCTCTCGCGGCGCGCGTCCGTCGTCCCATCGTTCCCGTCGCTCTCTCCCGCGCCTCGCGTCCTCGCCCGATCGTTTAAATCCACCCCCTCGCCCGCGCGTCGATCGATTCGTCCGTCCCAATCGATCGAGCACGCTCACCCGTCCTCGGTCACCGTCCTCATCCATTCGACCGCGTCTCGAGCCTCTCGGCGCGCGTCGTCCGTCGTCGCCCGCCGAGTCCTCGTCCGCGCGCTCGGTCGTCATCGGCGTCGGCGCCGTCGCGCGCTCGGTCGGCATCGCGGCGACGCGCGAGATGACGACGGCGACGCGCGACGACCGCGCCGGGGGCTGCGAGATCGTTGGATGGCGAGTCATGACTCGACGATGATGTGACTCGACCTCGACCGAAGGTGTTGGCGCGCGCGCGCGCGAGGAGCGTCACGGGAGAGGACGACGGACCCTCGCGCGCGCGCACGAGGGAGGATCGAGCGTCGCGCGACATGGCTCGACATCACGCGCGCGCGCGCGTGGCGAGCGCGGTGCGGGACGCGATGATGGAAAACGTGGCGAAAATCGGCGCCCCAACACCATCCGACGCGCAGGTGGAGAACATGAATAAGATGTCGCCGAACGAGCGATTCGAGACGATGTGGGAGGATCACGCGTTTACGATGACGCTCGCGACGATGGCTCTGCCGTTCGGAATTTTCTTCGCCGTGTTCGGGCGTAAGCACCACACGAGACTCACGCTCGCCCTCACCGGCGTCATCTGCGCTTGGCTCGGTTTGATGGGTCTCGAGACGGTGAGGAACTCGCTCGAGAGCGTCTCCGACCATCTGACGATCCCGGACACCGATATGCTGAACTACGGCGTCGCTGCGGTGTGTGGCTTGATCGGGGTGAGTGTGATGATGAGCATCTATAAGCTTCTCGGCTTGGTCATCGGCGTCTCGTGCGGTTGGTTGGTGAACTCGCTCGCTGAAAGCTACATCGATTACGACTTCGATATGATGTGGACCGCCGGCTTTTACGCCGTCGGTGCCGTCTTGGGTTGGGTGTTCGTGTCGCCGTTCATCATGGACAAGATCGGCATCGTGTACGCCATCATCGGCGGTGGCTTGATCGCCACGAGCGGCTCTCTCTTCTTGTGGCTCGGCGGCGTCGTTGAATCTCCCGACCTCTGGCCGATCGATTTGACCAAGTCGGGTGACGCCGAGGTCCAGCTGAACCGCGCGCACTTCGACTTCCAGGATTACACCAACTATTATTCCATCGCCATCGCGCTCGTGTTCGTGTACATCGGTTTGTGCACCGGCGGCCGCGGCAAGAAGGGCCCCGACGAGACGTCTCCGCTCCTGGGAGACGCCGAAAAGGGGCAAGCAGAGAAGAAGTGAGGGCGTCGGTGATCCTAAAAAGCGTTTCGTGTATTAAAACAAACAAATTATCACCCGAAAGCCGCCACTAAGTGACTCTTGTACAAGGCCATGAACTGCGCGACGAAAGCCTCGAGGTGCATGATGGGCTTGCCGCCGCGCTGCATGCGAACCTCAAAGTGAGCGGCCCAGAAACAAATTTGATGCTTCACCTCGACGTCCACGCGCTTCATTAATGCCTTGGCAAGATTCGTCAAGATGATTTCGGGAGGAATGCAGTTCACGAAGAGCTCGTACAGGCGACCGCGCACTTGTAACAGACGCGACGGCGATTGCTCGGCTAAAATTTCCGACCCAATCTGGTTAATGTACAACTCCCAATCCGTCGTTTGCACCGCTTGCGTCGGTTTGAACGGGTAATTCATCACTCGACACGTCTCTAGGGTCAATAAAGCGCGACGCATGTTGCGCCCGCTCGCCTGCGCCACGCGCGTGGCGAGCTCGGGCGGGAGCTCTAGCTTTTCCTTCTTCGCCACTTCGTGCAACAAATTTTCAATTTCCTCAATGCTCGGTCCTGGCACTCTGATCGGTAAGCATCTAGACTGCAAAGCATCCATTACTTTACTCGGACGCTCGGCGATGAGAAACAACCGACACGACGCGGAGTACTTCTCCATCGTTCTGCGCAAGCCGTACTGCGCCTCGCGCGACAGCCGGTCCACCTCGGTGAGGACGAGAACTTTGTACCCCTCGATTCCGTCCGCGTCGATCGGTCTCGATCGCGCCATCTCTTTGATCACCTCCTGCACGACGTACCGATCCTTACTTCCGCAATCACTCGGATTCATCTCGCAGTGAAAGTTGCTCGACATCATCGCGAGCTCCACCTCGACGCCGCGATCGTTCTGGTCAATCTTCCACGTCTTATTCTCCAGCTTCACCTTCTCCACCCCAGCGCCAAAGATTTCCCGTAAAACCGCGAGCGCTAACGTCTTCTTCCCAGCGCCCGACGGTCCGTGAAAGAACAGATGCGGGCAGTCCCCTCGAGCGATCAAGAGTTTCAAATGTTTCGCCGTCCTCGCGTTCACCGTCGTCGCGTCTCCCAGCTCGTGCGGTCGGTGCTTATCGACCCACAGCGCCGCGGACATCGCGCGCGGTCGTTCTCGCGATTGAATTTCTTCCCGATCGTCCACCAGTGCGGAAGCGCCGTCGCGCCCGTCGCGTCCGTCGCGCGCGCGGTGGCGAGTGCGCGTTTAAAAAATACACACGTCACCTCGAGACAGCTCTCGCGCCACGGACGTCCCGCGCGCGTCGTCCGACGCCGGTCGTCCGCGCGCGCGGGCGAGGGGCGGGGCGATCGATGGGCGATGACGCGCGCGCGTCGTGCACGAGATATCGCCCGCTTGGGACGCGAGACGGCGGCGCATCGACGTGCGTCGAGCTCAGAGATGCCCTCGCGCGTGGATGCGGATTCCATTCATCCGCGAGCGCGGGCGAGGACGAGATCGTCGTTCTCGGTGAACTCGGGATGACGAGACGGACGTTTCACGATGCCGATGGGTCGCGACGGGAGTCTTGGGAGATGGCGCTCGTGGGAAGCGCGGGCGAGGAGGTGATGTTGGTGAGCGGCGACGCGGGCGCGCACCAACTCGGACGCGTCGTCGCGGTGAGAGATTTTATAATCACTCAAAACGGTGCGGACGGTGCGTTCGTGATCGAGGCGAACGTGGTGGAGAGTGTAGAGGGCGAAGACGGCGCGATGGATGGGTCGCTCGCGTGCAGACTTCCCGAGGTTGGGGGCGTCGAAAACGACGCCCGGTCGCTCAACGGCAAGGCTGGGGCGTGTCATCGGGGCGTCCTCGAGGCCGTGAGTCCGATGATCTTCACGGGAGACTCTATTTTCTTTCAATGTGTGTTGCGGAGCGAAAACGGAGGTCAAGTCCCGATCATTTTTAGCGGAGCCTTCCTCGCGCGCTGGCAGTGCGTGTTGAGACGAGCAGTCGGCTCCAAGGTGGAGCTGAGAAACTTGAGAAAAGTTGTCCTATTCAAGGGGGATGAGGTGCACGAACTGCGCGCGTTTTCCGCCACTTCCGAGTTTTACGTCGTATCGCTGAGTTTTGGCCCGCGTATGATGGAGAGATTCGCGTGCGCGTGCGAGACATGCCTCGCGGCGACGACGGTGCCTAGATTTGAGGGAATGGTGACATCCGTCGTCGCAGATCGTGGGTACGTCACGATTCTCGGCGAGGACGGGCTGGAGGTGAAGCTCACGTTCACTCACGTGCCCATGATGGATTTTGGGCTCACGATTCTTGGTCTTCGCACTGGAGCGACGGTTTTAGTGACGCACGCACACCCAGTGTGGCGCTCGAATGACGAAGACGAACGCATCCTGGAGATTCTCGGGGTGGATCTTCGGACGCAAATCATAATCAAAAGCGTCTCTTTAGAGAACGCAAGTGATATGCAGCACACGCTGTTTGTAGATGAACGCAACGCAAAGGTAAGTCGTCTTTCCCGATCGCTCAAGTATACCGTGGAGCAAACGAGTTTCGTGTACGCAGCCGCCCTCGACGTGTGGCGGCGTGCCTTTGAGGAAAATTTCAACATCTTGAGCCGATCGGACCATTTGAGAGTGTCGGTAATGGAGCAAGCGCTCGGTAAGATATGCGACACGAGCTCGGAGCAAGCGCCCGCTCCGCTCCTTCGCGTCGTCGGTGAATGGTCATCAAACGTTCATGTTAGATCAGATGTGTACAGGGAAGTTTTTTCACCGCAGCCGCTGGGAGGAGTGGCTGTCGATTATTTTGACGTGCCATCGTTAAACTCGGTTTCAGAGAGTGCCTTCGCTAGTTGGAAGCGGGAAAATCAAGACGCACACGCGTGCAGTCGCGGGATCACGCGAGGTGAGGGTAAGGTTGTCATTCGCGCGGTTGAACGCCTCGCTGAGGTCGATTCACGACGTTTCATCTTGGGAGTGCTGCGTTGCATCTACGGACGACTGCACGTCGTTGATGATTCGGGCGAGATGGAAGTTTGCATTGACTCAATATCAGGCCGAGCACCGTCACCAAGCATGCTCAACAAGCTCGTCGTCATCAAAAGAGGCGAAGTAATGTGTGAAGGCGCATTCGTCGGCGCACGTGCGGCGGTTATGAAGCTCGGCACCGCCCAGGTGCGATTGAGCGTGAGGACCGACGCGGACGCCATCGTACTCATTCAAGCGTCTACGTGCGGTGGTAACACATTGAACCGAGATCCATTGGTTGACGTTTCACAAAAGAACGGAATGATGTTTGTCGCCGCGGCGTTGGCCGCGCGAGGTTCGCCGCTCCTGGCTCCCAGATTGAACGCCTCTACAATAACTCATAATATTCTCGCGCCGACTTGGTGCTTCACGTTGGAGACTTCGGAAGAGAGTTGTTCCACGAGTGTGCTTGCTCACGACGCAGATGGAAGTTTACGCACGTTGAAGGGCGTCATTAGGAACACGAAGCACTCGGGTAAGACAAAAGTTTCGATTTCCTTCGGTAAGCAAAACGGTTGGTTCTGTCTGATGCGTCGAGGTGCGAAGTACTTGATTCCTGTCGCTCCTATCATGAAGTGGGATGCGTCGAACTTTATAGCATTCGATGGTGACGACGCGGAGACGTACGTTTTACCGGATGATGATGATGAGGATGACGACAACGTGCTTGAGGATGGACCTACCGTTTGTGACGTGCGCGATGTTGTCGTATGGGAGCGAGTTTACTCGAGACACCCCTATCCGGGTGACCAGCTGGGAGGGAAAAGTGAGTTGGTATCGTTTAGATGCGTCGTCGTCGAGGAGGAATGGCACGCGAGCGAGAGAGATCCAAACTCAAAGTTTGGCGTCGAACCACATCTCAAGGTGCAAGACTTGGCGACAAACGACGTCGTGAAAATATATTGCAAAACCTCCGCCTTCGCTCTTCCAGTTGGCGTCGGCATAGGGGCGAAAATTACGATACATCGTGCGATGCGTCACCTTTCATCGTCACTGAGCATATACGTCAAGATCAATCCCGCGGTGACGACGATTGAGGTTAACGAACCATGCGGAGCGACATCTGAATATTTGCCATGGTTGACTAGTCTTTCGACGACGCAACGTTCGATTGGTTCGATGTTCGATGAAGACATCGCGCGAGCAAATCAAGACATGGTCATTGATAGACGAACGTACGCTATCCGAGCGAGGGTCAATCGTGTCACTAGGCTCACGGTTCGTTGGTGTTGTCCGGCGTGCGGTTGCGACGCCGGTTCCATAATGCGCACGACATCCACCGTGGCCTCGAACGGTGCCATAAAGCGCAAATTACCCGCAATGCTGTCGGGCTGTGACGTTTGCGAACCAAAATCTCGCGGAGCGATGAGGCCGGGCGTTTTCGACGTGGAGGCGTCGGTGACTCTAGACGACGGCACCGCTCGAGGCGATGCTTGGCTCATCGGTGAAGCGGCTTTGGCTCTGACGCCTATTCAGGTGAGGAATGAACTTCTGGCGCTCGTGAAGAAACACGGTCGCGTTACCGCCGTATTTACAAGGAGTAGCGACGATGAACGAGATATGGGAGCGGTGGGAGGCGGCATCGTTGTGCGTGGTCATGCCTCGAACCTTCTCGGAGGCAAAGACTCGGCGACTGTCCGCGCGGCGATCTCGTACGCCGAGTCTCTGCCCGAGATGATATTCAACTGCAGCAGATCATACAAATTTGATAAACAGAACGGTGTGACGAGTACGACGAGCGCGTCCGCGTTCTCGTATAGGACCACCGAGAACGCGGACGAGCGTGTACGGTGTGGAGACTACGACGTTGTCACGAGCGCGATACCAGAGTTACAACTTCAGTGCTTGAGCGTCAACCCGGTCGATGCGAAAGCAGAAATACGTTTGAGACTCTCTCGCGTGCGTGAGTCACCGTGAAGGGATGCGCGTAGACTAGGATGTAGACTAGGATGTAGTAAATAGGATTCAAAACAACGAATGCGTCTACGCTCTCAAATGTCGTCTAGGTCTATCTCGTTATCGTCGCGAAGCGCCAGGAGGAGAGCGTCCGCCTTCTCCTTGGCCGCGACGTACGCGGCCTTTGCGGATACGATCTCTTCTTCCTGCTCAGGGGTGATAATCCCACCTTGCCATGGATTTGCCCGGACAAAGTCTGGAATCGACGTCGATTCGAGCATTTCCCCTAGGTATCGCCGTAGGGCTCCGCTTTTCCCCAACATCTCGTCCGTGTCCAGTTCCTCCGCGGTGAATCCGCGCGGATGAATGGCGGTGTGCGCTGGATTACGAATCGCCTTGTATGGCGAGTCATCGATGAGAAGCGTGTTCGTCTCGTTGAATCGAGCTAGTCCCGTCTTTTTCTTCAGCGACCACACTTTTTGCAGCTCCTTTAGAAATATTGGGCGCGACGTCGTCCCCTCCGGCGAATCTGAAGGCGCGACACCGACGTTCAAGCACCTCTCTTGTCCCCACACGAACGCCACCTTGTTCCTGTGCTCACCCCAGACGTAATCCACAAGTTTCCTCGTGTTCCTCTCTTGCGCGCTCGACCACACGCCAACCTCAAACTTTGTGTGCGCCCACGCGATGAATTCGCGCATGTGCGGTCGATCGTACACGTAATAATTCCCCACGCGCGCGCTCTCCACGACTTCATCCTCTGTCGTCGGGACGGCGTCCTCGACGTTCGGCTCCGTCGCCTCCTCCGCGTCGCTCGCCGCCGCCGCCGCCGCCGCCGCCGCCGCCGCGCCTCGTCCGCCTCGTCGATACCGTCGCATCCGTCGATCGATGAATAACCCATTGAGATCGAGCACGAGTAACTTATCGTGCTTCACCGCCGTCGTCGCCGTCGTCGTCGTCGCCCCCGTCGTCGTCGTCGTCGTCGTCGTCTCCTCGCTCGCTCGACCTCGACGCCCATCCTCGAGCGCCGCCGTCTCTCCCTCCCCCGTCGCCTCGCGCGGCCGTCGCGTCGTTCCCGTCCTCGGCATCGCCCCGATCGACGTCCTCGACCGCGGTGCACTCGCGCGCGCGCGTCGCGCTCAGACGTCTCGCGACGCGCCCATCGCGCTCGACGCATCGACGGTCGCATTCCGTCGCTCGCGCCCGTGGTTCGTCGTCCGTCGCGCGCGCGCGTGGCGTCCACGGCGCGGGCGGCGTCGCGCGCGGGCGACGGATGATGCGCGCGAGCGACGGGGCGACGACGACGCGCGCGTCCGCGCTCTCGTCGACGGGGACGTTGGGAGAGACGCACGCGCCGAGAACGCTCGCGGAGTGCGTCGCGGCGAAGAAGAAGGTTGAGCGCGTCCGCGCGTGGCTCGCGAAGGGTGGCGCGCTGTGCGCGAGCGGACCGTCGGGATGCGGGAAGGCGAGCGCGATCACGTGCGCGGCGCGAGAGTTTGGGTACGGGGTGGAGGAGTACGCGGCGGCGACGCCGACGCTGTGGCGCGAACGCGCGCACATCGAAAACGGCGACGATGGAACTCGGGTGGAGTACTCGAGCAAGGTGGATGAATTCGTGGCGTACTGCTCGCGGGCGACAAAGTACGCGCCGCTCGCGCTCACGCTGACGTCGACGAAGACGAACGAGAGCGACGGGCGATCGGGCGGCGGGACGACGTCGATGATGGCGTCGCGGAAAGTGGTGTTGTTGATTCGAGACATTCCGAGCAGCGACGCGAACGGACGCGCGCGAGTGCTCGAGGCACTTCGCGCGCTCGCAGCCTCGCGGGGTGGACCACCGGTGGCGGTCGTCGTCACGGAGGAAGAAGAACGCGGTGGTCATCGGTCGGGCAGAAGCGCAGAGATATCTGCCAAGGATGTACGTTCAGTGATGGAAAAGGCGGGCGCTCAAATCGTCGACTTCAACGCGGCGACGACGGCGGCAATCACCAAGGCGCTGACGCGCGTGTGCGAACTCGAACACTTCGACATGTCGCCGTCAGACATAGATGCAATCGTGCAAAACTCGCATGGGGACGTGAGGAGCGCGCTCGGAGCGTTAGAGTTCTGGTGTTTCGGGAAGAATAGGACGGGACGAACGGCGCCGCCGACGAAACGCAAGCGCGGCGAGCCGAAGGAAGCGCCCTCTGCAGTGGCGTCGGCGCGCGCGCTGCTGAGTTCTCGCGATCAAGGCCTCGGACTGTTTCACGCTCTGGGAAAGTTTCTGTACAACAAGCGCGACACGCACGATTTGATGAACATAGCTGGATTCGAAACGCTGGATGAGCGATTGCGGCGGCCACCGCAGCGATACGATCCCGAAGACGTTCTCGCGCGATCGGGTATCGGCGCCGAGACTGCGGTGGGATTCTTGTTTGAAAACTTTGTAGATTTCGTAGATTCTAGGAGCATAGAGTGGGTGGCCGCAGGAGAGCGTTATTTGTCGGATGCGTTCCTCTTGGCGAGAGGCGGCGTTGGTTCACGCGGAGGTGGCATGGCTTCGCGCGGAGGTTGGGAAGACGTCGGCGACGATGATGACGCCGTCCTCGATCCCAACCTCGTGGCAGAGTACACTGCCGGCTCGGTCGCGACGCGTGGAGTTTTATTTTCGTCCAAACGTTCGGCTGCCGGATTCTTACCGATGCGCGGTCCGCGTGCGGCAAAAATGGAGCGAGCGGCGGCGACAAACAGTGAGGAGGTTCGCGCTGTCGTCGCCGCCGCTTTGGAGGGCGATTTCTCCGTTGGAGGCACAACCAACGCGGTGGCGACGGAGATGCTCCCGGCGCTGCGCCTCATCGCCGGATCTTCGGCTCTCGGTGCGTCTCTCGTGCCATTCCTTCCGACGAAGTGGCGGCATCCCGGCGAAGACGACGCCCAGTTCACCGCACGGATGGCCACCGTTCCCGAGGGCGTCGCCGCACCTCGTCCGGCAGATTTGACCAAGGGCGTCGCTCACGCGCTCGATCGCGGCGCCAGAGGCTCGCACGCGCGTCCGCTCACGCTGGATGATCTAGACGACATGGAGGACGACATCGAAGACGCCTCGGGTTCGGAATCGGACGACGCGTGGTGACCCGACGAGTGTAAAACAGGACTTCAAACCAAAAAGCAGTCTAAATGAACCCCCAGCCGCCGCCAGTCCCGTCACTCCAAACTTCATCATCGCCCCACTTCCCGCCGCGTCGGATCGCGCGCGCGCTCGACGGAGATCGCATCGAACGCGTGTGACGCCTTTCAAACGTCATGGAGTTCGACGACAGCACCACGTTCCGGCCGTACGTCACGCCCAAGCGGGATTCGTGCCTCTCGGGGTTTCACTCGAAAATCCTCACCGGGACAACCTACGCGCTCGCGTTCATCACGCTCGTCTTATCGGCTTACGCGGTGCACGAGACGAAGAAGCTGAACGAGAGGATCGACGCCGAGCACGCGAATCCGTTCTTGACGCTGAACGAAATCGAGGCAAACATGGGCGGGGTGTCGCTGTATCGAGGCGCCGGGTCATGGCACGAGCAAAAAGGATTGGAAGCCACGCCTGCGAACAAGGGCGTGAGCGATTGGCAAGCGGTGGCCGGTGAAGACGGACAAATTTTCCTTCTCGGTGGATTCGACGATACCGTCGCGACGCTGAAGAGCGTGTACGCCTATGACGTTCATCGCCAAACGTACACGGCGAAGGCGAACATGTCAGAGACTCGCGGGCAGTTCGGTGCGGGCTGGTTCACCGACGCCTCGACTGGCAAGGTGACCACCGTTATCGTTGCTGCGGGTACGTCGGACTCCAACAATACAAACGCGCTCCAAACGAGCGAGAAATACAATATCGCCAGCGACACGTGGACCTCCGGACCAACGCTCAAGCATGTGCACTTGGATGGGTGCATGGCGAGCACGGGCGATGCCGTTTACATGATCGGCGGTTGGACTGCCTATTACGACGCTGGATCCCAAAAGGTTGAAAAGCTCACTCGTACCGGCACCGAATGGAGCGAAGTCGCGGATCTTCCCCTCGAACTCGGCGACTGCGCCGCTGCCAGTCTCAACGGCAAGGTTTACGTCGTAGGCGGTTACAACAACCCTGGTTGGGCAACCACGTGCACCGACGCCGGTAACGGATGTTTCCAAAACAAACTCTACGAGTATGATCCCACCACGAACGCATGGACTGAAAAGGCTCCGATGAAACAGCATCGAGGTGATCTTCAGCTCGTGGCGCGCGGTGGCAAGTTGCTCGCGATTGGCGGGGAAATTTGGCACGCCAAGCGCGACGCAAGTGGCCACAGCGTCGACAAACTCGCTTCGCACTACGTCGAAGAGTATTTCCCCGAACTCAACCGATGGGAAGCTCGCCAACCGCTCGGAACCGCTCGTTTCCGTTTCGCCGCGGCGACGTCTGAGTGGGGCACGCACGTCTTTGGCGGTTCATCTGTGTGCGCCACGCCGACTGGCACCTACGACGAGTGCCACGGCTATCAGCACAAGAGCCACGAAGTTTACTTCGAACTCTCGCATCCGAACGTGTACGTGAACTTTGACTCTTCACACACCTACTAGGCGCCGAATACGAAATTCGGCGGGCACTTGTTTGTTTTCCTCGTCGTCAACGCTCGCTCAGCGACGAGGAGTTGGTTCTTTGGCTTAGCGTAGAGAGAACTCAACCGTTTTTTGCACTTGTTTTCCCATCACACAACGGGGTTTCTTTGGCGTAGACTAGATAGAAACGATCACTATGAATACTACATATATCTACGAGCGAGCTATTTAAACGTACTCCGAGTACACGTCGTAGGGCGTCGTCCCAAGCGTTACGTCTGACGTCGTGGAGTCCCCGACCGATCCGCGAACCGTGCCCAAGCCGAGTTTATACGCCCCCGCTGGCATCGCAGGCGCAACGCAAACGATACCCGCGTCGGCGTCGGCGTCGGTTGAGACGAGTGGCGTCCAACCGTTCACGACGATGGTCCCGAATCTACACGAAGTCATCGACGTCGCCGCGACACCGTTTCCGAGCGTGAACACCACGCGCGTTCCCCCGTACGTCGGACCAAGGTGTGGAACTATTGAATGTTGGTACACGAGCGTGTTCGCCATGAATGCGTACTTGGGTCCGTCATTTTGCGCCGCGCCGCTACTACCCGCGACGACGACTTGCGTCGACGACGACGACGTCCCCACGTGCGGCGTCTCGCAAGCTATCAACGCGGACGAAACGACCACACCGAGCGAGCTACCGCTCGTATCTACGCCGAACGAGCATCTCGGCGCCCAAGAATCGGTGGAACGAACGGTTTCATGGAGATTCGTACCCGAGACCCACGTCACCGCGCCTCCCTCCGCCGGTCCGCGCGCCGGCGTCACGCCCGTCGGTGCCGGCATCGCCGTCACCTTTGCGACGACTTGACTGTCGTATGGTCTGGAAAGTGGCAATTCGCGCCCGTTGTATGACATCATCACCGTCACGAACCCACCCGCGAGCTGATTCATCGAGGCGCAAACGCCGTTCGCGCTCGTCGACGTCTCGCCCACGCCCATGGTGACGCACGTGATGTTCCGCGAAAAACCCGTGGGCAAGGGATCGACGCTCCACGAATAGTTCACCGGTAAAACCCCACTCTCGACGCGCGATACGACGCCGTAATACTCACCCACCGCTTCCACGGCGACGCCGTCCGCCGAGCGACCCGAATTCATCGAAGGCAAACCGGCGACCCAAACGTTTGTTGACGCGCTCGGTGCCATCGCGGGTGCTATCGCCGTGACGACGTACGCGCTCGTCGCCGATCCCGCGACGCTAATGGAACCGAAACGCACGTACGGCGCGCCGTCGTCTAAGAACATCGAACCTAAACTTCCCGCGACGGCGATATCCAAGGCGACGCCGCCATCCTCGGATATCGCGCGCGTTTCCAAGCTCGATATCGCGAGTGACGCCAGGTTCACGCGCTCGATGAGCGCCACTCTCGAATCCGCGGATACCGAGTACATCGCGCGCTCCTCGGCGACTGAACCGTACGCGGCGAACGGAGGTATCTCGCACGCGACGAGCGCGCTCGACACGTGCACGCCCATCCCGACGTACGAAACCTCAAACGAGGACCCGGTCGACGTCCCTCGCCACTCGCACTCGCGCGCGCTCCCGACGATATCCGCCCTTCCGTCTCGAGGCACCGCGTTCCTTCCAGTGAGCATCGCGACGTCCCCTTGCGACGCCACGCGCGGCGTCGCGCGCGTGAGCACGCCGCCAAACTCCTTCACAAAGTTCACCACGCTCGACATCCCGAGCTCGTGAAACAAGATCGCGTCCACGCCCGCGTTCGAGCTCAGACCGAGCGCGACGAACCCCTCGTCCGCCGTCGGCGCGTCGCATCGCACGGTCGCGTCGTTCACCGCCGTCGCCTCGGTCAACCACCCGGGCGACCCGCCGAAGACGCACTTCAGCTCTCCCGTCGCGTTCACCGCCGCCGACGTCCCGGGGGCAAAGTTCAACCCGTACACATCGATCAAGCCCGTCCCACCTCGCACGTCCACCGCCATGGGCGCGCCCGCGGCGGTGTATCCGACGTCCCGCGCGCGCGCGTACGCCTCGACCGTCGTCGCCCGCGCGAGCGCGCACGCCGCGACCGCCCACCCGCGCGCGCGTCCGCGCGTTCGTCCCCGTCGCGTCCCACCGCGCGTGGACGACATCGTCACCGTCTCCCTCGCGCGCGCGCGGTCCGTCTCGCGCGCGCGGTCGCGCACGCGACGCCCCGCGGCTCGCCCGATGGGCACCGATTCCTTCGTCGATGCGTCGATCGATCCCAACTCGATCGTCTGCGCTCACGTCCGCGGTGACGGACGCGCGCGCTGCATCGCTCGCGCGTGGACGACGACCGCGCGAACGGACGCGACGCGGTGTCACCGTCGCGTGGACGACGAAGATGCGCATTTTTCAATTTTCAACTTTCACGCCAATCGACCGTTGGATCCACGACGAGCGGTCGCACACCGCGACGGACGCGCGCGCGCGATGTCGGACGGGACGACGACGACGCCGAGGACGCGGACGATCGCGCGCGCGGGCGAGGACGGGGCGGACGGCGCGACGACGACGACGATGGATGCGACGATGGATGCGTCGGAGACGATGGCGACGCACGACGGGACGACGACGGTGACGCTGGACGCGGACGCGGACGACGCGCGGGACGATCGAGGGACGGAGACGGCGGTGACGGACGCGGACGGGGTGGAGACGCCGCGACGGGCGACGGATGAAGATTACGCGCGCCTCGACGCGTACCTGACCACGGGGTTCGGTTTAGTGCACGCGGACGGACGCGACGGGGAGGGAAGGACGGTGGTGACGATTAATGCGACGAGAATTCCGGGATGGGCGGGAGGGGCGGATCGCGAGCGGGCGCTGAAACTCATCGTGCGCGCGCTCGCGGGGGCGGCGGAGGATAGATACGTCGTCGTCGTGTACTTTGGAAACGGCGATAGAACGGAGGGCGTCGTTCCCACGCACGCCTTGAACTGGCTGTCGGACGTTCACGGTGCGTTGGAGTATCGCGTGCGGAAGAATGTGGAGAAGATTGTCTTCGTGAACGCGTCGTGGTTGACGAGCACCATCATCTCCTTTTCGACGACGTTTGCGAGCAGCAAGGTGAGCAAAAAGTTTGTCTGGACGAGGTCTCTGCAAGATATGGAGAAGGATACGAAGTATCACGTCAACGCGTCGATGCTGGGCGAGTCTTTTTTGCGTTCGATCAACGTGAAGATTGAATATCGCGCGGAGCACGGGGCTGATGCTGAATGAAATGGAAAGCAACGTTGTGATATAAAAAATTGAGTCAGATCGTGGTGAAAGTTTGCAAACGAAAGAACGAACGCGCTCACTTCTTCACAGCCTTCAAGACGGCGGAGAAATCCTCGTCGTCGCACCCGTCTCGTCTCGCGCGCTTGTACAACTCGTTCGCCGCGGCGGCCACCGGCATGTCTTGGGCGAGCTCATCCGCGAGCGCGATGGCGAGTCGCATGTCCTTCTGTTGGTGCTTCAGCGGGAACGCCGGCGGATAATTACCCGCCACCATGCTCGGCCCCTTGAGGGCGAACATCGGCGACGCGATCGCCCCCAGGGAGATCACTTGGAGCAAGGTCTCTTGACTCAAATCGCTCTTGTCGGCGAGCGTGAGGCCCTCGGCAAACGCCCCCATCATGCTTCCCATGATCATGTTCACCACGAGTTTCATCTTCGCTCCCTGACCGACGTCGCCCAAGAAGAAGTGCGCCTTACCCATGACATCGAGTGGATCCGTACACCGCGTGTATAATCCCTCGTCGCCCGCGCACAGGAAGATGAGCGCGCCGTCCTCCGCCGGCTTTTTAGACCCGCTCACCGGCGCCTCCAAGAACTCCGCCCCGGTGGAGCGAACGACCTCGGCGATCGCTCGAGAGGTACCCGCGTCAACGGTAGAAACATCGACGTAGCCCTTTCCGCTGGAAAGGCCCTCCTTCGCCGCGTGCGCGACCGCGAGCGCGGCCTCGGGCGTGCTCACCATGACGAAGACGACGTCCGCCGCGCGCGCCGCCTCGCTCGCCGTCTTCGCCAGCGTCGCCCCCGCCTCGACCACGGGCTTCGTCGCGCTCTCGGTTCTGTTCCACACCGTCACGTCGTGTCCCGCTGCGATCAGGTTCTTCGCCATCGGGACCCCCATGATGCCGCATCCCAAAAATGCGAGCTTCATCGGTGTTGAAGTCTTCTCCGTCGTCGCTCTCGAAACGACGCTCGAGCGTCGATGGGCGTGAACGGTGTTGCGTCGACCGAGGACGATGGACGTGCGTGCGTGCGAGAGAGCGCTCGCGCACGACATAAACAGTCGCGAACTGCGGACGCGAACGCTCGAGGTCTCGAGGTCGCCTCGCGGAAGCGACCGATGGGTCGTCGATGGACGAGCGATTCAACGCTCGAGCATCGCGTCGATCATTCATCGTGATGACATATGCGCTATCGACCGATGCGTTTCGATCACTCCTTCCCCTCTCGAGCGTCCCTGATCTCGAACTCTAACTCGCGCTTCTCGGCGAGAATCTTGCTCACCGTCCCCACCGCCGTGCGCAGTTGATCCTCGAGCATCTTCTTCGCCGTGCGTTCCATCGAGAGCGCGCTCTCGAGTTCGTCAACTTTCTTACGAAGCGCTCGAATATCGTCGATCGTGAAGTCGTCGGCGTTGAGACCGTCGTCGTCGTCGGGTTTCATCGGTCCGGGCATTCCACCAGTGTACGCGCGCGCTCTGTACGTTGACGACGACGCTCTGTGAGCGGCGATTCGACGGTGACGGGGGCAGTCGGACGTCCACTTAGACGTTGTCGTCGCGCACGCGACAGACGTCTGCGAGCGGGCGAACATGGTGCGCTCGAGGAGAGTCGATGAGTGCGGCTTGGAGACGCGGCGGTTTCGTTCTTTTGCATTTGTTTTACAAAAGCCCGCCTCGCGAGCTCGGTTCTACGGGGAATCCTTTGGGAAGTATTTTTGACCATCGTTTGTGAATTCGGCATTCTTGAAGTTGAACGTGCGCACGCTGTGCTTGGCGCCCTTGAGGTCGAGAACGCCGTCGCTCTTGCCCGTGCCCGTGAACTGCAACATTCGACTCCACTCCTCCGTACTCTTGTCGTGGCGATACAGCCCAAGCGTGCTTGGGAAGTTGGTATCACGGCACACGGAGTTCTCCTCAGTCGCGGCAGCCAGGGCATCGGCCTCATCGCTCGATTGCAAGAGCGCGCGGCGGTGCTTGGGCGTTTCGTAACACGTGCCAATCTTCAAACACTTTGGAGTCTCCAGGAGGCGGAGCGAAATCCGCGAACCACCGATGAGAGGCTCGTGAATGAACCGTCCTTCTTGACCCTCCAGCAGACCCCATCCCTTTTCCGTTCGCTTCTGCCACTTGTGCGTCGCGCTCTCACTCTGGAAATCGACCTTTGCATCGAACGCTTGCGGCGTGAGCGTCTTCGTGCACTCGTAATCAGAGTACAAAACCAACCCGCTCAGGTCCCACTGGTTGTGATCTTTGCTCGGCGATTCACTTCCCTTGAGGGATTCAATACGCCACCAGTTCCCCATCTTTGCGTCTTCCTCTTGCTCCTCGTCCTCGCCCTCCATGAGCTCCACCGTCGGGCGTCCCGTCTTCGGGTCCCGCTTGATGTTGTCAAATTGGTGTCGCTCCGTCTGCGACGTCAACGCGAACCTCGTGATCGCGTCCCGCGCCGCTGGGTTCACCATGGAGTACACCAATAACGACATGCTCGAGATGAGCATGATCGAGCTCGCAAGATTACACTTACAGAACACGTTGCTCGAGTTCGCGTTCGCTCGAGCCTCCTCCGAGCTATCGAAAATGTCATCCACCAGATCGCTCTCATCCGCGTCCACCCCGGGCCCGATCTCCACGTCTCGCGGGGTCTCGTACGCGCTCACCGCGTGCGCGGGCGGGGCGTCCGGTCCTAGGGACGCTAACAGCGCCCGTCGGTCGTTATCGCCGTCATCGTCGCGGGATTCGTCTCGTCGAGGATCGGGATCTTCGTCGTCGATCGTGAACGGCGCATCGTCGGCGTCGCGTCGGAACATCGCGCGCGGACACCGCGTCGCGCGTCGTGCGCCGAGGAAGTCTTTTACGTCGCACTCGACGCGCTCGCGAGGACGCGAACGAGGCGCACGCGCGAGTGATTGAGGAGATGTGCGAGGGATGCTCCCTCGAGGTGCCTCCGCCACATGGCCGCGAAGACGACGAGGAAACGCGAGAGGCGAGCGATGGTGAGAGCAGAGACGGTTCGAAGGGAGAAGGAATAATGATAAATAAATGACAACGCGTGCGCGGTCTAGCGGGTTGGCACGCGTGCGCGTCGGAGACGAGCTCTCGCTTACTCGTTGCGAGCGGAGTCGGAGACGAGCTCGCCGAGCGCCGAGGCGAGCGCCGCACGAGTGGCGGTCTGCGTGTCCGCCCCGCGCTCGTGATGATCCGCGAACGTCTGAGAGAGCGATCGAACCATTTTGGCTAAATCTTCGCTCGATGCCGAGGCGGAACCACCGGGGGTGGTCGTGAGCTTTTTGCGCGGCTTCAACTCTGGAAGACCGGCGATTTTCGTCTTTTCGGGCTCCGGAACGGCGTCTTCCACGACGCAGCTCGTCGTCGTCCCGTCGGTGCTCAGTGCGGATCCACCCTGCGTGTTCCGCATGCGCTCTTCGAACATCCCGAGCATCGGTGCCAGCGCTCGCCCGAGCTCCGTGCTGAGGAAAACATTCGGCAGATTTAAGATCTTTTCGTCGATGCCTCGCCCGACTAAAAACGTCGCGGCTTCGTTCGAGAAGTTGTTGCAGTTATGTCGTAACAAATTGTACGTCTCCGCGGTGTACCTCGGAGAAACTTCACGCAAGAAATCCTGGAACATCTCCTCGTCCACCTCCGTCGTCCCGAGCGTCTCCACCCGCAACGGCGCCCCGAACTGCCGTTGCGTCTCGCTCTCCGGCGCGCATTGCAAGCCTTGCCCAAACCAAAACTCTCTTCCGTGCACGACGATCCCGGTGTGATACACCGCCTCGATCGTCGTTCCGAGCACGTCTCCGCTCATCATTCGAGCCATTCCACCGCTGCGCGTTCGCGCACCGCGCGCGTCCCACCGTCAGTCACCGCGCCGCGCGTTTTCCGAAACCTTCGTCGTCTTCGTCTTCGTCGTCACCGTCCCATCTTTGCCCGTCGCTCGCGCGCGCGCGCACCTCAAATCGTACACGCGAAGCGTCACCTCGCTCGCGCGTCGCATCGCGCCGTAGTCGCCCGTCGCCCGCGCGTCGCGATGGCCGTCGGCGCGTCCGTCGTCTCACGACGACGCCGGCGTCACACGCGGACCCTCAGGCCATCGTCCCCGCGCGTGCGACGCGCGCCCCGAGCGCGCGTCGACGCGCGCGCGATGCCGAGCGGTGAGCTCCTCGGGTGCGCGCTCGCGTGTTTCGGGGCGTGGCGCATCGCGAGCGCGCGTCCGAGGTACCCCAAGCGGCGAGGGGTGTACTCGATTCGTCGCCGAGGGCGATCGGGCGAGGCGGTGTGGCACGACGCCGACGCCGCGGATGTGTTTCACTGCGAACCGTTCGATGGATGCGGTACCGTGCACGAGGTTTTTGAGTACGCGACGAAGAAGAATGGGCCGAGACCGGCGCTTGGTGAACGCGAGGTGCTCGAGACGCGAGGCGAGATCGCGGCGGATGGGCGGGCGGTGGAGAAGCTGCGGTTGGGGGCGTATCGGTGGATGACGTTTCGAGAGGCGAGCGATCGCGTGCGAGCGATCGCGAGTGGATTGGTCGATCTCGCGGGTCTGAAGGAGGGCGATAAGGTGATCATCTACGCCGATACCAAGCGGGATTGGCAGCTCGCGGCGCAGGCGTGCTTCAGGATGAATCTCACCGTGGTGACCATTTACGCGACGCTGGGAGAGGAGGGCGTCAAGCATGGGATCAACCAGACCGGTGCGAGCGTCGTCGTGTGCGATGGTAAGCTCCTGAAGACGCTCACGAACGTCATCGGTGATTGCCCGTCGCTCAAGCACGTGGTGACGATGGGCGATCCGGACGCGGCGCAGCTGGACAAGCTTCAAAACGCTCGCGTGTTCCAGGTTAGTTTGGACGAGGTCGCCAACGTGGGCGCGAAGAAACCTTTGGCGGCGCGTCCGCCCAAGCCGACGGACGTTGCAGTGCTCATGTACACCAGCGGTACCACCGGTGCGCCCAAGGGGGTGATGCTCACCCACGCCAACGTGTGCGCCACCATGAGCGGTCTCAAGGATGCCGGCGATTTCACGAACAAGGACGTTTACCTCGCCTATCTGCCGCTTGCGCACATCATGGAAATGGCGGCGGAAACTCTCATGCTCGCCCTTGGCGCCGCAATCGGTTACGGCTCTCCGCAAACGCTCACGGACACCGGCTTGAAGCTCGCTCCGGGCACTCGCGGCGACGCGCCCACTTTGAGGCCAACGTTTATGGTTTTTGCCCCGGCGGTGCTCGATCGCGTGCGCCAAGCCGTCCAGGCCAAGTTCAGCGCCGCGAAGCCGGCATTGAAGAGATTGATCAACGCGGGCTTGGCTGCCGGACGCAAGGACTTCGAGAACGGCAAAATTGGCGCGCCCTTCTTGTACAACGCCATCATCTTCAAGAAGGTTCAAAAGCTCATCGGCGGTCGCGTGCGCGTCATGATTTCTGGTTCTGCACCTCTCTCGCGTGAGACGCAAATCTTCATGCAAACGTGCTTTAGATGCCCGGTTCGTCAAGGCTACGGCTTGACGGAAACGGGCTCGTGCGGCACCATCGCAGCCTTCGACGACTACTCTCCGACCGTCGGTGGAGTCTTGAGTTCTGTGCGCATCTCGCTGCGGGATTGGGAGGAGGGCGGTTACCGAGTCTCCGACGAAAATAACCCGTCCATTGGTTTGCCGCGAGGTGAAGTCCTCATCGGCGGCCCGGTCGTGTGCCAAGGTTACTTCAACCCGAAGAACATGTTCGACGCGGAGCTCGAGGAGAAGAACAAGAAGGAGTTCAGTGAAATCGACGGCGTTCGATATTTCCACACCGGCGACATCGGTCAGTTCACGCCGGACGGTCAACTGCAAATCATTGACCGTAAGAAGGATTTAGTGAAGCTTCAACAAGGCGAGTACGTCGCGCTGAGCAAGGTTGAAAACGTGCTCAAGCAGTGCCCGTACGTCGCGATGGCGATGACGTACGCCAACTCCAACCACTCGTACTGCATCGCCATCGTCGTCTGCAACGAGGCGCCGCTCAAAAAACTCGCCGCGAGCAAGGGCATTAAAGGTGATCTCGAAGCGATGTGCGCCGACAAGGCGATCGTCGACGAGATCTCCAAGGCGTGCAAGGATGCGTGCAAGGCTGGAAAGCTCGTCGGTTTCGAGACGCCCACCAAGTACATCTTAACCGCCGAACCGTGGACCCCAGACAACGACATGGTCACCGCCGCGTTCAAACTCAAGCGTCAAAACATCATCGCCGCCTTCAAGTCTCAAATCACCGCCACGTACACGTAGCGCCGCTTCGCTTGCAACAATTTCTAGACTTCATCGCACCGCGCCCGCCTCGCTCGCGCGTCTGCACTCATCGACGTCCTCGCATCATCGACCACACACTCGCCTCGCGCGCGGAGATGTCCACCACGTCCGATGACGTGCTCACCGAACGCGACGCGCGCACGTTCAGCGAATCTCTGGCCAAATCATTAGGAATCTTTGCGACCATTCCTCGACCGATCGCCGAGGCGCACATGCGATTGCGTGGATACGACGCCCCGCCGTCGAGCGTCTCGGACGCCGAGGTCCGAGGGGCGCTGTTGAAAGCGTTGTCCGACGAAGTCTTGCTCGAGCGCGAGGCGAAGCTACGAGGGGAGGCGTTCGATCCGTACGTGAACGCGCGCGGACGACCGCAGGCGAGACGGACGCAGGAGACGGCGGAGCGACGGCGGTGCGATAGGAGCAATTCGAGGGAGACCAAGGGGAAGGCGTTGGGAGCGAGGAGTGATAGCGATGATGAAGATAGTGAGAGCGGGAGCTCGGTCGGGGGGGCGTATAAACCGAGAGACGTCGCCTCGGCGAGCGAGGAGGAGACGTCAGAGGAGGAATACGGCGACGCGAGCGGACCGAGCGATGACGATTACAATTACTGCGACGACGAAGAGGCCGAAGCGGACGACGATGGGAACTATTTTGGACGCGCCGAGATGGAGCCGCCGGCGCCAGACGGGGCGAATCCGTTCGCGAGCATCGATTTTGACCTCGGCGAGGAGGCGCGGGTGCAAATCGAGGAGGCAAAGAGAGTGTGCGCGGCGCGCGACGCGCGGGCGAACGATCTCTCCGACGCGTTCACGAGCTTGCGCGCGACAACTGGATCGGAGGTCTCCCCGGCGGTGTCGGGTCGAGTGGCGTTCAGCGATAAAGATGATGTCGCGAGCATCGCTGGATCCATCGCGGCGTCTGACGTCACTGACCGCTTCGACGCCGTGTCCCTCGCCAGCGTCGCCGCCACGCTCGGTTCAGACGCCACCGACAGAGTTGCCGATGTCGATTCGTTTTACGACGATCTTCGCTCTCTCGCTGGTCGCGCCGAGGTGATCTACGAGAGCGGCTCGGGCTCGGATGGTGGATTTCCTGGCACCGACTCGGACGAGGACCACGCGACGCAAAAGGAAAACGCACCACCGACGCCGTAGAAAATGACGCGCGACGACATGATGAGACGTGATTATCGCCATCGCCTCTCGGCCGAAGCATTTGAAACCGACGCGCGCCACTGCTCCAACTCAACTCCACCGTTCGTTCGTCGCGCCCCGGGACGCTTTTTCGCTGACGTCAGACGTCGACTCGCGATTCGCGTCTACGCCTCGCGACCAGACGCGTTCGCCCCCGCGCGCGCGTTCGCCCCCGCGCGCGCGTGAAACCGTCTCGGTGCTCCCGCCGCGGCGCCATGTCCGTCGCGTCCACGAGCGCGGCGGCGAAGGGGCGAACGCTCGTGTGGTTTCGAAAAGCGCTGCGAGTGCACGACAATCCGGCGTTGTCGCGGGGAACTCTGCACGCGACGGCGTGCCAACCGGTGTTCGTGCTCGATCCGTGGTTTTGTCAACCCTCCAGAGTCGGGGCGAACCGGATGCGTTTCTTGTTGCAGTCGTTGAGAGATTTGGACGCGCAGCTCCGCGCGCGCGGGAGTTCGTTGTTGGTCTTACACGGCGAACCGAGAGTGGTCTTACCTCGTGCGTGTAAGAAGTGGCGCGTGGATTCGGTGACGTGGGAGCATGATATCGAACCGTACGCGAAGATCAGAGACGCGGCGGTGCGAGGGGCGCTGGAGAGAGCGGGTGTGGAGTGTCACGCGGCGAGCGGACACACGCTGTACGACGTGGACGAAATGTTGGAGAAATGTAAGGGGGCGCCGCCGACGACGTATCAGGGATTCTTCAAGATTGTAGATAAGATGGGCGCACCGAATGCACCTATAGATGCCATGGAGAAGATGCCCGGGTCGTTCGCGTCGAGCGATGAAGAGACCAAGGCGCTCGTGCAGGGCGTCGCTGACGCGTACGGCATTCCGACGCTGGAGGATCTGGGATACGAGCCGCTGGGCGACGACGAGGGATTCCCAGGCGTCGGCGGCGAGACGGAGGGTTTGCGTCGTCTTCGCTTGATGCTCGCTCGTAAAGAATGGATCGGTCAATTTGAAAAGCCGAGCACAAATCCCACGACGCGTTTCCACGGTTTGTCGCAATCCGGCAAGACGAAACCGAAGAGTCCGTTTGAAATCGCCGCCGGCCGCTCGAAAGATGGCGACGCGTCGACGAGTGGCGCAGAGGCGCTGATGATTCCATCCACGACCGCGCTCAGTCCGTACATGAAGTTCGGGTGCGTCTCCCCGCGAGTGTTCTACCACGAGCTCACCGCGGTGTACAAGGAATTGGAGGGAAAGCACTCGAAACCGCCGACGAGTCTCATGGGTCAGTTGATGTGGCGTGAGTTCTACTACCTCGTCGCCGCGGGAACGAAGAACTTTGATAAGATGGAGGGTAACGCGATATGCCGACAGATACCGTGGAAAAAAGACCGCGAGCTCTTCGCCGCGTGGGAGAACGCCCAGACGGGTTTCCCTTGGATCGACGCCGCGATGACGCAACTTCGACGAGAGGGATGGCTCCATCACCTCGCCCGTCACGCCGTCGCGTGCTTCCTCACCCGAGGCGATCTATTCATCCACTGGGAGTGGGGTCGCGACGCGTTCGATCGCGATCTCGTGGATGCGGACTGGGCGCTGAACAACGGCAACTGGATGTGGCTCTCGTGTTCCGCCTTCTTCTACCAGTACTTCCGCGTGTACTCCCCGATCGCTTTCGCGAAGAAGTACGACAAGGACGGCCAGTACGTCAGGCACTACTTACCGGTACTGAAAAACATGCCCTCAAAGTACGTCTACGAACCCTGGCTCGCCCCCCTCGACGTGCAGAAGAAAGCCGGGTGCGTCGTCGGCGTCGACTACCCGGCGCCAATCGTGGACCACTCCGCGGCGAGCAAGCGGTGCGTCGACGACATCGCCACCGCGTACGCCGCTCACAAGGACGCCAACGCCGTGGCCGGGAAGAAGCGCAAGGCGAGTGATTGATTCCATCGTTCATACATCTATATCTCACGTCTCATCTCAGACGCGTTCTCCGCCCTCGCCTCGGCGCCGCGCCCGCGCGTCTTCTTCTTCGCGCGCGATCTCGCGCGCGTCACACACGCCGACGCGTCGTCATCTCGCGCCATGCCTCGCGGTCGATCCACACGCGCGCGCACGTCGCTCACGCACCGCATCGTCGCCCTCATCGTCCTCGTGTGCGCGCACGCGATCGGAATACACGCCGATCACTACGCCACGCTCGGTGTCTCTCGACACGCGGATGAATCGCAGATCAAGCGAGCGTATCGAAAGCTGGCGCTGAAGTACCACCCCGATAAGAACCCGAACGATGAGACGGCGAAGAAGAAGTTCACGGAGATCGGACACGCGTACGAAACGCTGAGTGATCAGGAGAAGCGGAAGATTTATGATCGGTACGGGGAGGAGGGCGTGAAGCAACACGAGGCGAGCGGCGGACGCGGAGGCGGACACGCGGCGCAGGATATATTCAGTCAATTCTTTGGTGGAGGTGGATTCGGTGGATTCGGTGGATTCGGTGGCATGGGCGGAGAGGAGGAGCAGGAGACGCCCAAGGCGCCGACGATTAAGATTGACCTCAGGGCGACGTGCGAGGAGATCTACCTCGGCGCGTCCGTTCCGGTGTCGCGAGCGAAATTGGTGACGAAGAGCGCGAAGGGGACGAGAAAGTGCAACTGTCGACAGAAGCTCGTCACTCGGCAAGTCGGTCCGGGGATGTATCAGCAATACACCGAGCAAACGTGCGAGGATTGTCCGAACGTAAAGCTCGTTCGTGAAGACGTGGATCTGACGGTAGAAATCGAGGCGGGCGCGCCCGAGGGACACGAGATCCTCTTCTTCGAGGAGGGCGACGCGATGATCGACGGCGATCCGGGTGATTTATTGTTCGTCATTCACACCGTGGAGGACGCGAAAAACGGCATCAAGCGCGTGGGTAAGAGCGATCTTCACATGACGTACGAGATCACGCTCGTGGAGGCGCTCAACGGTTTCTCCAAAGTCTTCAAGCACTACGACGGTCACGATGTCGTCATCGCTCGCACGGGAGTCACGCGTCCGTTCGATAAGATGACGGTCAAGGGTGAGGGTCTTCCGAAGCACAATCAGTTCAAACAATTCGGCGACATGCACATCACTTTTCAGGTGCAGTTTCCCGACGAGCTCGATCAAAAGCAACGAGACGCCACGTCGAAGGCCTTCGCGAAGTCCTCCTTCGTCAAGGTTGGCAAGGTGGATCCGGGTCACGTATTCGCTTAGACGACGATTGCGACGTATTCACGTACTCGTTACATATTATTTCATTTTTCAAAAAAGAAGTTGTTATCCGGTTCACTTGAGCAGCAAGTCCAACTTGACGCGGCTAAAGTCGAGCGTCATCGGATGCGACGTGAGCGTTTTGTGACTCTTGCTCTTCCCCCCGAGCGTCGCCCCGCCGAGGATCAAGCTCGCCTCGACATCGGTGCTCAAACGAACCGCGTTCGTCTCCGTGATTTCGATTTCCTTGCGGACGGAGAACCCATTCGTCATCGCCGGCGACGTGATTCCGGACGTCGTCAGAAACTGAAACCCGACGTACGGTTCGTGATCCTTGTAATCAAAATTCGCGCTCACCCGAAGCTGCAAAGGATCTAAATCGAACGTCTTCTCGTAGAACACCGTGTGATTCGCCGTGTCCAGGTTAATATCGCCGTTGAACCACGAGTCGCTCACGCGCCACTGCAGATTCGGGCGATACGTCGCGAGCGCCCCGCCGAGGCGTCCCTCCTCTCGCTGAATCGGCACATCCGTCCCCGCCGTCACGAGCACGTCCGGCAACAACGGCACGTTCAATCGAAACCGTTTACGTATCCGCAGAATGATCTCCGGCGCCGATCCAAACGTCACGTATCGTCCGATCGTCGACAGACTCCCCTCCACCGCGTCCTCCACCTTTGATTTCGCCTCGTCCGCCGCGTCCACGACGCGATTGCTCCACGACGCCGCCGCGGACCCGCGCTGAACCTTTCGCAGTCCCCCGTCCGCCATCGTTCCCGAAGCGCACCGCGCGGGCGTCGACGAGTGACGCATCGCATCGCGTCTCCGGGGTCACTGGGTGTTTCGTTTTTTTCGACCGTTCGCATCGTCGTCGTCACCGCATCGCGCGCGGCGGACGCGCGATGGACGACCGAAAGAGTGCGCGCGATGTCGACGCGCGATGGCGACCGACGCGGGCGATGCCGACGACGACGCGCGGGCGGGGACGACGGAAAGGACTGACGAGCGACCGACGCGCGGGCGCACAGAAATCGGCATCGGGTTGACGAGCTTTGGGTGCGGGTTCACCGCGCTCGGCGTGGTGTTCTTCTTCGATCGCGGGCTGTTGGCGATGGGGAATCTGATGTTCCTCAGCGGGGTCACGCTGACGATCGGGCCGAGGCAGACGGTGAAGTTTTTCGGGCGACCGAGGAATCAGCGCGGGGCGTTTTGTTTCTTGTTCGGTTTGGCGCTCGTCCTGTACGGGTGGCCGTTCGTGGGGCTGTGCGTGGAGGGGTACGGGTTCGTCGCGCTCTTCAGCGCGTTCTTCCCGACGGTGTTGATATTTTTGAAGAGGGTGCCGGTGTTGGGGACGTTTCTATCGCTACCAGGGGTGAAACATCTGACGACGACGATCATCGGCAAGAGTCAGACGCTGCCGGTGTAGGAGAACGGAATCGCGCGATGCGGGCGAGAAAAGGCAATAAATGAGGTGAAGTAAATCGGAAGAATGGAACTATAAGGTGCGCTAGCAGCCGCCGGGAGGGACATTTCGTTTTTGTCAGTGTATAGTCAGAATCATTAGTTTCGCCTCGGTTCACGTCGTCCGCGTCTCGACTCACGCGCTTTCCAGCGCTTCGATAGAACGATCTCCCAAGTCCATCACCTCGCGGCGACAGACAGAGTCGAGGACGAAGTCGTGGGTGACGATCGCCTCGGCAGCCTTGGACAGTCGCTTCGCAAAGGGAATGAATTCTTCGGCGTAACGCGCTCGCGCCGCCTTGTTCGATTGCTCCTCGTTAACGACAACCACGACGCGCGACGTGTCGTTCAAGTTCAGAACTTCGCTCAATTCATCCGAAGAGATCTTCGCGTCTTCGATTCTCGTGACGATGGCGCCATCAACTCGAGCAAGCTGCATGCTGGTCTCGAGCTGCTGTTGGCTCTGAACTTTGCCGAGATAGATGAGGTGCGTGTCTGAGAATATCTTCACACCCTTGTTCAGACGCGCTCGACGAGGTCCGCCTTGGTTCCCGCGTGTATCACCCAGTACCTCGTGATCTTCCGCATCCACGATACGGTTCTCCTTGAGACTGGCTTGAAGCCACGTAGACGAGACAATCCAGCAACCGCGCGTGAGTCCACCAAAAAACTTGTCTGATCGTTTCTTAAGGCACCGGTCGGCATTGATCTTACTCTTTGACATCACCACGTGCGTCGTCCGATCGCTGACCGATTGTTCGAACTCGCAATCGAATTTTGCACAAAACTTTTCAATCGTCTTCTTCTCTTCGTCGTTCAGGAACGATCCAGCGATGGATGGTTTCGTAAGCGCGACCATCTCATAGCTCGTGTCCGACGGACCGATCGAACCGAGTCGTCGATGTTTTGCCGACGTCGACAGAAAAGGCGCCTGCGATGATCTCTTCGCTGAGGGCGTGGTAGGCGTGATCGAGTGCACCGGACACGTCACAGAGAAGCCTTGTTCGTCGAACGTCGTACCGTGCTGCAATCGAGCGCACCAAATGTGGAAGGATTGCCTGCACGTGCCGATCTTGCATCCAGACGGCGCGCCCGTCTTCTTGCACACGCCACATCTCAGTCGCCTGGCGCGATGAACCTCTTTGCACACATTTACGAGCGAGCCGTCGGCGGCGCTCGTCGTGAGAGGAGCCCACATCGCGCACGTCTCGTGACAGTACTCAACCTTCTTCTTCCCTGAAACTTTCTCCTCGAACGCGACGACGGCCTCACCGACTTCGCTCCCTCGCTTACAAAACGCGCACGTAATGCCTTCGACCTCGGCGTTCGGATCGATCAGCGGCCCATTCCATGTCGCATATATTGGCTCCGCATCGGCCGTTTCGCACGCTTGAGACGTCGACGCGCGCTCCTTCGTCCTTCCCTGCGTCCTCTCAGTCTCCTTATCCTCCCAAATCATCTCCACCGCCCGTCTCAGAGTCGATTCACCGGGCATACCCGCTCGCAGCCCCTTCACGAGCGACATGCTCGTCCTTCTCTGCGCGACGGCGCCGTGCAGCTCCAATTGCTCCTTTGGAATTTGAGAACCAAACGGGAGCTCATCGCACTCACCCATCGCACCGCTCACGGCGGCCAAGACGTTCGTAAACGAATCGACGATAGACTTCATTCGCTCGTCCATCCGACTCTCCCGCTTCGTGCACGGCGTTCGACACGTCGGACACGTCGATTTCTTATTCCCGAAGACGCGTTTGGCGCACTCGTCGCACAGGTAGTGCGAGCACCCAAGCTTTATCGGCGTCTTCGGCAGCGACAGGCACACCGCGCACGCCAAGTGATCACCCAGCTCTTTCAACGACGTCGTCACGTGCTCTCGAAACGCCGCGAGCGCGCCATCGATCGACATATCGTCGGTGCCAACTTTTCAAAATCCCCTCGCAGCTGTCTCGACGCCGTTCGTAATCTCTCCCTCTCTCGCCTCCCGTCCACCCGTCCACGGTCCACCGCGCGCGCGCGTCCTTCGCACCGGCTCGATCGTCTCCACCGCGCGCCGTCGACGCGCCCGCGCGCGTCGTCGAGCGCGTCGTCGAGTGCGTCGTCGTCGTCGTCACGTCCGAGACGCGCGCGAGGACGACGCATCGCCGATCGATCTCGCGTCGGTCGGTCGGTCGGACGCGATTCGGTCGCGCCGGCACCTTCGCGCGTCGCCTCGCGCGCGTCACCTCGCGCGCGCGCGTCCTCGGACGACGTGATGCCGACGATGTCATCGCTCGCGCGCGCGGGACCGGGGACGCGACGGACGACGACGGGGGGGGCGGACGACGACGGATGATTCGATGCGACGCTAACGGTGATGGATACGATGGGGCGCGACGCGCGGTCGCGGTGGTGGCGACGACGATCGTGGCGCTCGGCGACGCTGGCGCGGCGACGCGGGCGATGGAGTTTCAGCTCTTGGATCAGTCGCAGGTGGAGTACCTCCGTCGTCGCGATGAGGCTGCGAGTTTTAAGTGTAAGAGCATGTTCGACTGCGACGGCGATCGACGAGAGTTCGCGAGAGCGCAGAGCGAACGATTATACGCACGCGCTCGCACGCGAGATCCGAACGAAGCGGAGGTGGAGAGAGAGTGCACGGTGGAAGATCCGTGCACGGATAACGTCCTTCGCGCGGCGATGAGTGGGTTACAGGGGTTGACGACGAGCGAAAAGCTCGAGAAACTCGGCCGATCTGAACTCAAGGATGCGCCGAACTCGACCGCGAGATACTTTGATTTCTAATGAAGACCATGCACCGTGCCGTAAGTTTACAATGCGCGCGAGCGCTCGCTCGAATCATCTTCTATGAGATCGCGATTTCGACGAGTTCGCCCCACGACTTTCCTGTGGAGATTTTTACTGGTGTTGGCACCGACAAGCAGAGCGCGCCCTCCATGCAAGAGCGAATGACGCGCACTGCTTCTTGGACGTAATCTTTCTCGCACTCAAACAAAAGCTCGTCGTGTATTTGGGCTACGAGTTCAACGAGTTCGGCTCTCGCCTCTCCGGCCTTCGTAGCTTCGCACCATCGAAGCATTGCTGTCTTGATCAAATCCGACGCCGAGCCTTGAATCACCGTGTTCACGGCTTGCCTCTGCGCTTCACTGCGCTCGCTGAAAACGTTTGAATGTATCTTCGGCAAGGGACGATGGCGTCCAGAAAATGGGATTATGACGGCACCATCTCGTTCGGCCGTTTGAATGACGCGCGAAATCCACTGCTGCACGCGTGGAAAAGCTCGATGAAACGCCGCAATGTAGCCTTGTGCTTCAAACTTGGAGCAGTTGAGCTTCTCCGCCAGGCCAGTGGCGTGCTGTCCGTACACGATACCGTACGCAGTTCGCTTTGCGATGTCACGTGTCCCAGGTTCTGTCGGCGTCTCGATCGGTAAGTTTCTACCCGCATTCCAAATCGCACAGAATACATCGACAGTTCTAGAATGCTCGTTGAAAAGTGAAATCAAACGCTCGTCTTCGGTCAAGTGTGCGAGAACTCGGAGTTCAATCTGACTGTAATCGGCAGCCACCAAAACGCGACCTGGCGGTGCAATGAAGCAGTTTCTCATCGACCCTCTCCCAACCTGTTGCACATTCGGCGCGCTCGAAGACAGGCGACCAGTTGCTGTCGAGGTGTTGTTCCATCGAGTATGTATTCTTGCGTGCCCTTCGGCGTTGACGACGGTGGCCTTGTCGTATCCGTCGCACATCGCACGTTCTTTCAACGCTCCTCTGTGGTCGAGGACGATTTGAGCGAAAGGATGTTTCATTTGCTGAAGCACATCCACGCTTGTACTCAGATGACTCGATTTTGCTCCTTTCATCGCGTGAGCGCTCGGGGGCGGAAGCTTCAGCTGGTTGTACAGCACGTCACCGACCTGCTGCGCGCTCGAGAGATTAATTTCAACGCCGCCAATTACGTCCCTCGCGCGATTCTGCAGTTCCTCGACTCGCGCGTTCGCAGCTGCTCGTTGTGTATTCGCCTCGTGGCGATCGAAACACATACCACGGTGCTGCATCGCGCCGAGCGCGACCGCAATCTTTGCTTCGACGATGCGCGCGAACGAGATGCCTTGCATCCGCGGTATCTCAGATCCCCGCTGGTAATATCGAAGCGCTAGCGCCAAATCGGCTCGTAATCGCGCGGTGGGAGAATCCCAGGATGCGTCGCCGTTCTTCGTGACTTCCTCAAAACAGCCCGATACTTCGGATATACCGCCATCGTACGCTCGATCTGGATTCATGAGCCACGCATCAACACGACAATCGACGAAATTCGCGGTCGATGCTTCTACTTTCGATACACCGACGTCCAACGCCCGCTGCACTACCTCCTGTGCGTGATACGTAACTACTCTGCATCGAGAGATAAGAGCGTCCAATCGATGCGCTAAATCCAGCGATCCTTTCTGATGCGGCAAGAAGAAAAACTCTCCTGTCGCTTCGAAGATAACGCCGAATCCAAGTAGTTCGGTGAACACGCCTTCGGTGCTCGCGGCCTCTTCGTCTCCATCGTCGACACGTGAAAATGATTCGCCAAATTTCTTTGCCGCCTTCTTTGCCGCCTTACATTCATCCGCGTCGGGCGGCCTAAAATTACTTGAAAACCCAAACCAAATCTCCACCCCGTCGACGACGCGCACGACGTCTCGTTGCAGCGTCCCAATCGCGCACGTCGTGCCTTCCTCCGTCTCCCTCAGCGCTCGATTGAACGCCGCCGCGTCACTTTCGTCCACGCCATCCATCGCATCGCCCCGACCCGCCTCGAACGCCAAAGCTATCGCCTCCGCGTGTAAACTCGGTTTAGCTGACCCTCGCTTCTTCTTCGCCGGCGCCGGTGCCGGCGCCGACGGTTCCGTTCCCAACTTTCTCCGACTCTTCGCCCGCGCGCGCGCCGGCTCGGCATCCGCGACGCCCGAGCCCCTCTCCACCGCCGTCACGACCGGTGTCGCGCGTCGTAAATCGACGTCGCGACGCGCACCGAGTTCATCTTCGCCGTCGCACCGCGGACGCGGTCGTTCGTATCTCCATCGCGTCATTTTTTCGTTTCTCCGTCCTCTCGCTCGAGCTGTCGAACGATGATGAATTCAAAATCTCTCCACCGTCAACGTCGTCGCGCGACGTCCTCGCCCCGACGCGATCGACGCGCACCGGCGTTTCCTCTCACCGCCCATCGCCTCGCGCGACGCGGCGACGTGAGCGCGTCGCGCGCCACGCTGTGGCGAATTCCTGCGCCACAGAGCACGACGCGCACTCGTAACGACGACGACGACGTCGACGACGACTCCATCGCGATCCCGCGCGCGCGAGACGACGAACGAGACGCGCGCGCGCGTGAAGCTGTCCACGCTCGTCCTCGTCGTCGCCGTGGCGCTCGGAACGAACCGAATCCGTGCGCGCGGTGGGATGATGACGACGTCGTCGACGAACGGACCGCGCGCGCCGACGCTTCGCGTGAAGGACGCGCGCGCGACGCGGACGATGCGCGCGACGAATTTAGTGTTCGGGGCGTCACCGCTCGCGGGAATTTATACCGAGATCGACGCTGCGCGGGCGCACGCGGTGGTGAAGCGGGCGGCGGAGCTCGGGTTCGACAAGTTTGACACGGCGCCGCACTACGGGTTAGGATTGTCCGAACGGCGATTAGGGGAGGGATTGCGTGAAGCGGGGATGGTGGGTAAGGCAAAGGTGTACACGAAGGTGGGACGAGTGATGAAACCTCGGGAAGAGGTGACGGAGAACGACGAGGTGGAGTGGGGTAACGTTCCGGGCCGCGACGGGTGCATATTTCCGGGCGCGCCGAGGGACGTATTGCCAGTTCTAGATTACACGGAGAGCGGTTTCGAGCGTTCGCACGAGGATAGTCTGGCGAGATTAGGACTCGAACGCGTGGAAGGGGTTCGCATTCACGACGCCGAGACGCCGGAGCGCTTCGAGGCGGCGATGAAGGGCGCACGAGCGCTTCGAGCGCTTCGAGACGCCGGGCGCATCGGCGAGGTATCACTCGGGATGAACGACGCGAAGTACGTGTTGAGGATGATCAGGGAAAGCGAGCCCGGTACGTTCGATGCGGTCATGATGGCGGGATCGTGGAACTTGCTCGATCAGGACGGTCTCGAGGTCTTGCTTGAATGTCAGGAACGTAAAATCAGAGTTTACAATGCCGGAATCTTCGCGAGCGGCTTGCTCGTCGGTGGATCGCACTACAAGTATGGGCCGCCGCCCGAAGAGGTGAAACAGCGAACCGAGCAGTGGAAACAGCTTGCGGCGAAACACTCGGTACCGCTGCCAGCGGTTGCGATTGCGTTCGCTCTCGCTCCTCAAGTGGTGGAGTTTCTCGCAGTTGGCGTCAAGACTCCGGAAGAAGTTGAGCAAAATATCGCGTGGCTTGAAAGCGCCAACACCGTACCGACGGAGCTCTGGCGCGAGGCGAAAATCATGGGACTAATCGCCGAAGATGTCCCGGTTCCGAGCGATGAGTAGTTTTCGATCGTCGCGTTGTAATTTTCCTCACGATGTTGACTAAACATGACGCGCTGCCAATATCATCATTCTATTACACTCTGGTAGACTACTCCAGACTGAGATTGGACATGTCCGGTTCGTCACCGTACTCCACGTCTCGACTCGTTCGCACGTCGGCGTCTTCACCGTACCCTATCGCGCAATCGCACTGATACAGCACGAATTGTAAGCTCTCCTCGTCGCTGATGTCCAACGGCGCAAACGAAATCAGTGCGAAATCCTCCATGACGCTCGCGATGGCGTGATTGAGCTTTCGATACTTTGGATCCATGCGCTCGTCCAATTCATTCGCTAATCGCTGATGATCCGGACACAGGTACGGCTCCAACACCGACTTATCCTGCAGCATGTCCACCTTGCTCAGGATGTTAACGTGCGGCAGCGCCAAGTGCAACATCGCGCTCTGCGCCTGCAAGCACCCAGCGATGAACTTCGTCCCGTCCGAGATGAACTGCGCGTCCAGGATATAGACGCACACCATCTTCCATCCCCAACCCGTCATCTTTTCTGTCATTGACTTGAACGCCGAGTGATGCGAATACAGCTCGAGCTGCCCGGGGCAGTCGAAAATCACCATGTCATCCTCCATGTACCCCTCCAGCTGTTCCGCGAGCCAATCGTCCATGTTATCCTCCAGATACTCCATGCAGAACATCAACGCCCCGTTCGGGCCTAATTCTTCCTCCTCCATGACGTCCTCGAGCGAGATGAGCTCGCGAACGTCCGCGGTGACGGGGTAGCGGAATTCATCAGCCGCCGGGTCTAGATTGATCACGCTCAGCGTCCGACCGAGCGAAGCGCAGTGCTGATGGACGTTGTGACAGTACGTAGACTTACCCGAACCCGCCGGGCCGACGACGAGCTGGGCGTAGGGCATCGAGAAGGTCGGCGCAAAGGCGCGTCGAGGACTGAGGACAGTTCCGTGGTTCGTAGTGCTTCGTAACGATAGGAAGACGTTCATGACGCGCTCACGCTGCGGGCAAGGGCGAATTCGAATTCGATTCTTTTAAGAAAGAAATATTCGTGATGATACAAAGGCGCGCGGGCGTCGCGCTCAGAGCCTGTCCTTGCGTTTGCGTCCGGTGAACTTGCTATCGTTGGCGACGTGTACGCCGCGGTTTCTGTACTGCTCCTTCTTCTTCATCACCCACGCCTTACCCTTGTGGTTGTTCGATTTCCTATACTTGGCGCCCTTATCGCTCTTTCTCCCGTCCATGCGCATCCCTCTTCGCTCGTAATCATCCTCGTCGTCGTCCTCGCCTTTCGCTCTGGGCAGCGACTCGGGCGGACCCGCGGCGAGGACCAAAAAGTACTTCTTCGCCCGCGTCGAGTTCGGATAGTCGACGACTAACCCCCCACTGAACCCAACCCTCAACGCCGCCGTGGTGATCATCTCCGCCTGCCTCGGCCCGTCGGGATAAATCTGCAACACCGCCTTCGCGCCGCGCTTGAGGCACTTGTACAACTGCGTGAAGAACGTCTTCAACCTTCGTTGCGGGATGTGCGCGCTGTTATCGGCGTTACACAACCACTGCACCGCTGAAATACTCACGCACCCATCGAACACCCCTGGACGAAACGGCACGCCGTGTCCCATGTCGTTCCGCGTCACGTCTCCCTCCACCTCTCGTTCCCGCGCGTGCTCCAACATCGCCTCGCTCAGGTCGATCCCGATCCACTGATGTCCGAGCTCGGTCAATCGATCTCCCGACAGCCCCGACCCGCACCCGACGTCCAGGATCAACCGACAGCTCCCATCATCGGGGAAATTCAACAGTTCCACCGCGCGCTCCGTCAGGCGCTCCTGAATCTCAATCACTCTCGAGCTCTGCGTGTACTTTCTCGCCTCCGTGTGCGAGTAAAACACATCCGCCGGCGCCGTGAGCTCCGGTCGCGACATCCTCGCGCGCGTTCAGGCGCGGCGTCGCCCGCGAGTGCCGTCGCGGCGTCGTTCGGTCCGCGTCGTCGCGGTCGCCGCCGCCACCTCGCGAGACATGTTTACCAGGGGTTTGGTTACGTGGTCGTCGCGTCGCTGGGTGTTGCGTCCCCGCCGCGGTGGCCCCACCGCTCGACGCCGCCCCGACGCGCGCGCGCGATCGCGATCGCGCGCGACGGCGATGTCGGACGCGACCGCGTCGCGCGAGCGCGCGCCTTTGCTCGAACGCGACGTCGAGGCGACGACGACGCGCGCGAAGGATGCGGACGATGGGCTGGAGACGTCGACGATGGTGACCACGGCGGCGCCCGCGATCGCGTGTGGGCTGTGGTTCTACACGAACATCGCGAATAACATCGCGCTGCAGGTGTATCGGGACGCGATCGGGTTCGGGGAGGCTGGGGACGACGCGCGGACGAATGCGTGGAGGTTGGAGGCGTCGGCGACGACGACGTGCGCGCAGATGGCGATCGGGGTCGTCCTCGGGGTGTTGATGAAATTGATCTTTCGAAGCGGACGTCCGTTGAGAGAGCTCTTGAGAGAGACGGACGGGGTCGTGGTCGGGGTCGGAGTGCTTCACGGGACTGGAGCGATTCTCACAAATTTGGGATTCCTCTTCACCACGGCAGCCTTCGTGCAGATAGTAAAGCTTAGCGAGCCGTTCATGGTGCTCCTGTTCGAGGTGACGATGAAGTGTTCGAATAGAATGCCGTTGAATGTGAGCATGGGGGCGATTATAGCGGTGTGTGTGGTGGTATGGAGCGCGCTCGATCTCGCGTTGCTCCATCCCATCGACGACAAAAAGGCGTCGGCGCTCGTGATGCTCATCATCGCGAGTGTGGTCATCACGTATCGAATAGTGTGGCAGAAGACGTCAAGATTGATGAACCTCAAGCGAGGCGCGTTAGGAGACGTCTTGGACGAGTACCTTTACATGACCTTTTACGCCTTTTGGCTGGTGCTCGCCGTGGTCGGCGTCGCGTACGCTGTTGATCGAGATCAGTTCGTCGACGTGCCGAAGCTCGTCGATAATTTCCGAGTGGATCTCGTGGTGTATCATCCGGTGTGGTACTACTTCTCACTGGCGACGCTCAGTTACGTGGCGCCCATCACGCACGCGCTTCTCAACGTCATCAAGCGCATCGCCGGTTTGCTCTGTACCCTGGTCTTCTTCCAAGAGTCCGTCACCTCACGCGCGTGGGTCGGAATCATCGGCGCTCTCATCGGAGGTGTGTGGTACTCCCTCGAAAAGCACGCCGCGTCCCATCCGGACGCCTCGTTCTTCTCCGTGGCGTTGTTTCGATGCTTCGGGCCGCCCACTGTCGCCTAGGCGCGGCGCGACTCCCGTCGTCATCCCCGCGAACGTCCCTCGCGCGTTCGCTCCCTCTAAATGATATCACTAGCTAGTTCATCTTGTATTCTTAGCCGCGTTAAACGTATCGTGAACCCAATTGCGATCATCCGCAGCGCGTCCGTCGTCGCGCCCTCATTCGCTGACGACTCCGCGAGACCACTCACGCCCGTGCGGCTCGTTCGTCGCGTCCATCGTCCGCGCGAGGACAAAGAACGAACGCGCGCAAACCGAAATGTCCGTCGCGGGCGTCGAGGACACGTTAGAGGTCGACGCCCTGGACGTGGTGAAGATCGTTCTCCAGTGGGCTCGAGAGTCTGGTTTGGAAAACACCGCGGAGGCGTTATCGAGAGAGACGGCGACGACGCTGAACTGCGTGGACGATTTAGAAACGTTTCGTCACGACATCACGCGAGGGCGATGGGACGTCGTGCTGCCGAGCTTGGCGAAATTGTCAATGCCGAAGAATGTTTTGGAGGATGCGTACGAACACGTGACGCTGGAGATGTGCGAGCTCGGTGAGCGAGACACCGCGCGGGCGATTTTAAGGCAATCGAACGTGATGAAGACGATGCGAGAGGAACAGAGCCGAAGACACGCGCGTTTGGAGCATTACGTGAGCGCGATTGATTTCAACGCGAGCGACGCGTACGGTGGGACGACCAAGGAGAAGAGACGGGAAAAGATAGCAGAGGCGCTATGTAGAGAGGTGTGCGTCGTGCCTCCGTCCAGGCTCTTGGCGCTCATAGGACAGGCGTTGAAGTGGCAGCGGAGCACAGGGGCCCTCCCGCCTGGGACGGCGTTCGATTTGTTCCGCGGGCAAGCGCCGGCGGAGGACGAGGAGGAGGAGCAGTGCCCGACGACGTCGCACAAGAGGATCAAGTTTTCGAAAAAGTCCTTCCCGGAGTGCGCGTCGTTCAGTGCGTGTGGTGGAATGTTAGCTACTGGATCTGCGGACGGGTTCATAGAAATATGGGACCCGTACAGCGGGAAGTTGCGCAAGGATCTCAAGTATCAGGCGGATGACGCGTTGCTCATGCATGACGACGCCGTGCTAGCGATCTCGTTCAGTAAAGATTCCGAAATGGTGGCGTCGGGTTCGCAAGACGGTAAAATCAAGGTGTGGCGCGTGAGCACAGGGAGCTGTCTTAGGAAGTTTGAGAAGGCGCATCAGGAGGGTGTCACGAGCGTCGTATTTAGCAAGGATGGCTCGCAGGTGCTGAGCGGCTCGTTCGACGGCTTGATACGCGTACACGGCCTGAAGAGCGGTAAGTTATTGAAAGAGTTCAGAGGTCATACGTCATATGTGAACTCTGTCGCGTTCACGGAAGATGAAGCTCACGTTCTCTCCGCATCGAGCGATGGCTCGGTGCGAGTGTGGGACGCCAAGACGGGCGAGTGCAAGCACACGTTCAGACCGCCGCCACCGGTGAATCCGAACAAAGACGACGACGTTGAGGACACATATCAAACGGGTACGATCCCAGCCGTTACGTCGGCCGTTCCGAATCCGAAGAACGACGCCCAAATTATCGTGACGTCGAAAACGAACGCCGTCGTCGTCTGCACGCTCGCTGGAGACGTCGTCGAGACGTATTGGACGAATAAGACCGCTCTGCCGCACACCATTATCGCCTCTACCACCTCTCCCAGGGGCGAGTGGATTTACGCCGTGAGCGATATCGGTGAGATGTACTGCTTCAGCACCGAGACCAAAAAGCTCGAGTCAACCGTCTTCAACCTCCACGAGAGCTCCACGTTGGGCGTCTCGCACCATCCGCGACGCAACCTGGTCGCCACGTTTAGCTCAATAGGCGAGCTCAAGACGTGGAAACCGTGAAATACCGCAACGTAAGAGCGTCTCTACGCACTTGATCACTCCGTTTACGTCCTCCATCACGCCTCACTCGTCTCGCGTAGTAGTCCCGTCGCGTCTCCAATGTCTCGTCGGTTGCTCACCAGAATATCGATCGTCCCTCATTAAGACGCGCGCGGCGCGCGTGTTTCCCTCGCTCGCGCGCGTGAAACCACGCAGCGGGAACGAAACAACCGCTTGACGTCACGCGATGACCATGGGGTACGACGGCGGTGCGCGTAAGACGCACGCGCAGTCGATCGAGCGTCTCGTCCGAAGAGCGTCCCCAAAGGAAATTATCCTCGCCTCCGTCGCCGTCGTCGTCATGCTGTTAATCGCGATCAAGATGCTCTTGACGGATCACGATGTGTTATTTCTCGCCGCGGAGTTCGTGCACTTCGTCGGGATCGGGTTCTTGGCGTACAAGATGCTGGTGCACAAGAATTGCGCGGGACTGAGTCTGAAATCGCAGCAGCTCACGGCTGGATTTCTTGGGATCCGTCTGTACTGCTCGCTCGTCATGGAGTACGATTGGCACACGATTCTAGATGCGTTGACGTTAGTAGCGACGATATGGGTGGTGCGGATGATGCAGACGACGGTGAGAGGGACGTATAACGCGGGATTAGACTCGACGCCGCTGGCGTACGTGCTCGTGCCGTGCGTGGCGTTGGCCATCGTGGCGCATCCGACGACGAAACACTGGTGGATCAACAGAGTGTTGTGGGCGGCGTGTGTGTTCATAGAGGCGATCAGCGTGCTCCCGCAGCTTCAGATGATGCAAAAGGCGCGCGTGGTGGAGCGGTTCACGGCGAATTACGTCTTTGCGCTCGGCGTCGCGCGTTTCCTCTCGTGTGCGCACTGGATCCTGCAGGTGTTCGATCAGAAGTCGTATCTCCAGACGGCCCTGGGACGAGGGATCTGGCCGTTGATGGTGATCGTGAGTGAGATGGTGCAGACTGGTATTCTTGCCGATTTCTGCTACTATTTTGTCTTGAGCTTGTCGCGAGGGGACTTCAACGTAACGCTTCCCGTCTAGTAAAAAATTGAATTGATGTTACACAGCAGAAAATCCTAATCACGGCTGGTTGTGGTGCACGACGAAGAAATCTGCGCGGCCATCGGTCATCTTGTGCACCGCCAACCGAACCGTTTCGTCGTACCTCACGGCTGAGTCGCAAAACTCTCGTAGCACCACGCGTTCGATCGTTGTCAAGTCTTTTCCCATAGCCACCATTCGAGTGATTACCACTTGCAGCGGGCTCATCGACGGATTGTACGCCGCACACTCGAGCGCCCATCCCGTTGTGACCGCACCGCAGCTCGTGCGTACGGCGATGCCCGCTGGAGATTTAGTATACGGAGTGTACGACTTGTTCAATGCGGCATCCGTGAACCCCAAGAGTTCACGCCAGCCGTGGTCCAACTCGTCCTCTCGAAGTGGCCCGCGCCCGTTCAAAAACTTCAAAGCATTCTCCCCCTCCTGACCACGACATCCCAGCCGCACACCCTGATCTTCCAACAAGAGCGGCATGTCGCTGATTAAGTCCATCGGCCCAAACGCGTGCGGCAACAGCTCGCGCAGAGGTAACCGCCAGTCCTTCGTCACGACTTTGAGATCCTGCCCATCGCGAAGTTCGTTCATAAATTGTCTACAGTGTCCACACGGCGCCTCCGTCGTCGCTATCGCCTCTATCCGTCGCTCTCCACACGCCATCGCGATCACCAGCGCGAACTGCTCGGCGTGTACGCTGTGGTTGAGCGGCACGCCCGGGATCTCAACATTCACCCCGAGGTACGCCCTCCCCGACGCCCCCAGCGCGCACGCGCCGACGTGAAATTTACTCGTGGGCGGTCGCGCGAGCTCTCTCGCTCGCTCGGCGAGCGGTAAGAGGACGTCGTGATGGCTCTCGACGCCGGTACAGTGGCGAGCGAAATACATCGCTTCGGCAATGTCCGTGACTAAAAACTCATCGACGACAAAGGGCGGGCACGGGAGCGCGCCGCTCTTCGCTCGCTCGATCGCGGTGGCGATGAGCGTGTCCCTGTGTTTTTCGAGCTTGCGCACGCGAGCGGGGCTCGCGTCTCGCGGCGCGCTCATGACGAGCGCGCGAGTGCGGCGCGGATACCGCGAAGCGCGCGTTGAAGAGAAACATTTGCTTTATTGAAAAATCATGCTATGCGAGCGCGCCGGCGGTTTGAGAGCTCAGAGCTCGCCTTGCGTGGACTCGTTCTCCTCGAGCGGGGGCTTGTCGACCGCCTTTCTCGTCGGGTTGACGAGGTTTTCGGCGCCGTCGACGATTTTCATCTGGATGATTTCGTCGTCAACCTTCAAGTCGCGAAGGAGCTCTTGGTTCTCAACGACGTAGCCGAAGATTGAATAACGACCGTCCAAAATGTTCGTACCAGACGGCGTGAGCTCGGACTCGCGGAGAAGGAAGAAGAATTGGGAGGAAGCCGAGTTTGGTTCCGATTCGCGGCGCGCCATGGCGAGCGTGCCAAACGCGTTGAACGGTAAAACCGGCTGCGCGCGGTAACGGCCGAGATCTTCGAGGGTGAACTCGTACTCCGGAACCTTGTCGCCTTGGACCATGATTTCCAACGGGACATCGCGCTCGACGCCGTCCTGCTTAAAACCGTCGCCGTCGCGCGGCTTGCCGCTCTGCACGACGAAACCGTCCGAGCGCTGAATGGGCATATTATCGTAGAAGCCCAAGTTGATCAAATCAGCAAAGTTGCCCGCGCTCACGGGCGCGTTGTAGCCATCGAGAACGATTGTCATCACGCCGCCGTCGGTGTTCGCGTTGTTCTTAATCTTAACCTGCATCTCCACCGTCGCGCGGCCCTTCAAAAGCGGCCTGTCCGCGAACTTCTCCGGCACGTCGAACGGGAACCCATCGATCATGTCCTCCTCGATGCGACCGACGAGCTGAAGCGCCTCCTGTTGCGCAAGAGGCACCTCTTGCTTATCCTTTTGCTCCACGATGACTTGGAAATCCGTCAGCACGCGTTCGAGCTCGTCGAGAGCCTTCTCACCCTGCGCCTTCCTCGACGGCGCGACATCGGCGAGAATCTTCGCTCGCTGTTCCTGCACTATCTTCAATGACCCTTTCACGCTGCCATCGACGCCTCGGAAGTTTACGCCCGGAACGCGCAAATCGTCGCTAATCGTCTCCAGCTTCTTTTGCACCGCCCGAATGGGCTTGTTGCTCACCGGAAGCGCGTTACGAAGCAGAGCCTTGGCGTTCGTGATCGGATTCGCCTCCAATCCCGCCACTTGCGTCACCTCCATCGGCGTCGCCACCGGCGCCGCCCACGCGAGCGGGGTCGACGTCGCGACGCTCGCCGCCGCCGCGATCGCCGTCATCCCCTTCGCCAGCGCCTCACCCACGCCCTCGACGCCCTCCCGCGAGCGACGCGTCGACCGCGCGACGACCACGCATCGCGCGTCCGCGCTCGCGCGTCGTCCCGCCCCCGCGCGCGCGCGTGCGTCGCGATCGACGACCGACGTGACCTTGGATGACGTCGATCGCTGCGCGAACGCCCGCATGACGCCCGCGCGCTCGTTCGCGCGCGCGAGACGAAACGCGCGCGCGCGGAGACCCGTTCGGTGTTCGCTCGAGCGCGCGCGTCGATCGGACGAGCGTCGCGCGCGACGGAGTGCGGACGTGACGCGAAAAAAGCTGTCTTTCATTCATTCATTCATTCATTCGTCTACGCGCCGTCGTCTCATCCGACGCCTCGCCCCGATCCGCGTCCACTGTCGCGATAGACGCTCGAGCGCGCGTCTCTGTACGCCGCGTACGCGTCCATCGCCCTCGACGCGTCGAGCGGGCGGCTTCCTAACCCCGCGGTGGCCGACCCGCCGCGCGCGCCG